CTACTCCCGTAAAGATTTACACCCTCGGAAACCCTGTACAGGGTCGCTATGGGTCGGAACCGACTCGATGGCACTTAACAACAACAACAAAGAGATAAAAATCACAAACAACCCGTGTTGTAAAATAAATCCCAAAGGGTAACTGATAGCAATAGGAAGGAAATAGAGAAACAACTTAAGTATCATAAAGCAATAGGCAAATTCAGAAATGATTATCCTCTGGAGAAGGATGGGTGGCATTTCTTCTTCAAGACAAAGAGGTGGGGGGAAGGAGGGTGGAACTGTTACAGAGAAGAAGAGATTAAACCACATTCAATAATGGTCGGATTGACTGGATACAATCCGACCAACAGCAAAATACATCTGTGGCTTAAATGGGTGAAATATAAATATGAGCTAGGTGTTAGATGATATTGGGAATAAACCGACATAGTTAATGGTGCTAATGACATTGTGACTGCATTTTAAAGATGCAGATGAAACTTTTTAGGGTTGACAAGTCATAATGTTTGTAATTTAAATACTTTAAAAAACAAAGGAAGCGTGCCCAAAACTCTGTAATGTGAATGTGAAAGATCACTCTAAAACTGAGGTGCTTGACGTAACTAAAATGGCTGACACAGGTCTGAATCGTACTCCATTTTATCCTAGGTTTTTGCTTCTGCTTTTAAAGTACGAGACCCAGGGCCATACTTTTGATCATGATAACTTATTCTACAACATTCTGAGATGGCCCACCCAGAACTTGAAGACACAGAAGGAACCAGTTTGGAACCCAGGAAAGTAAGGTTCAGTACTTTTGTTTTTGTTGTTGTTAGGTGCCATCGAGTCTGTACTGAGTCATAGTGACCCTATGCCAACAGAACAAAACACTGCCTGGTCCTGGGCTAACCTCACTATTGTTGCCACTCTTGAGTCCGTTGTTGCTGCCACTTTGCCACTCCATCTCGTTGGGGGTCTTCCTCTTTTACTCTGACCCTCCACCTTACCAAACATGATATCCTCCCTCCTGACTGCTCCCTCCTGACAATATGTCCAATGTATGAGAGACGAAGTTTGGCCATCTTGGCCTCTAAGGAGCACTCTGGCTACACTTCTTCCAACACACATCTATTGGTTCTTTTGGCAGCCCATGGTACTTTCAATATTCTCCTCCAACACTATAACTCAAACTTTAGCCAATAGAAATTCTCAATAAATGAGTCTTACCAGAGCCCACTGATTGTCAGCTGAGCAAATGTATCTCCTCCCCACTCCTGTACAAAATTCTGCAAAACTGAGTATAAAGATCAATGCATATATCTGTCCTCTTCAGACCACTATTTTGAACTTTCATTTAGGCATTTCCAGATTTTAATGTTTGAATAGAAATTAAACTCTTATTTTATAGAATGTTTCATTTTTAACACTATTGTTGTTAAGTGCCATAAGTAGATTCCTATCCATAGCGACAGGTACAGGGTTTCCATGGAGTAGTTGGTATGTTTGAAGCGCCAACCTAGTGGTTCTCAGTTCAGTGCTGATCCTACAGCACCACACTAATCGCTGTTAAGTAAAAGTAATGGGTATATGGAGATTCATTATACTATTCTCCATGGTTCTGAAAGAAAAAAAGATTTTTTTTTTTGTTTTCAATGACAGAGACTCTTTCAAATTGCCTCTAAAGTTTCCAGAGAAGGTAGCCTCTTGAACAGACTTGACTTGGTCTTTGAAAGGGAAGGTATCTGCTCCCATTTGTCCCTCGTCCACCTCTCCACCTTCTGTCCACCCACAAACTCCGCCCCTGCAAGGGTCTCTCCTGAGACCTGAGCAAACACAGCACCTTCCAACGCATAACTGAGGATGCTAACACGTGAATGTGCCTCGCCTGCGCAGATGTTCCTTCCGCGTCTGACACAACGCACGGACCTTAAATGTGTTGGGAGCCAAGCAGGTCAGGCTTTGTGGTCGCTCACCTTTAGATACTGTCCCAGATGAGGTGTCGAAATGGAAGCACCCCAACAAGGTCGGTTTGAACCACAAGGTCGGTGATTCAAGCTCACCAGTCGCTACTGGAAACCCTATACAGGGTCACTATGGGTTGAAACCAACTCTACGGCACTGAACAACAACAACCAAGAGATCGCAAAGGCCGGAAGTACGTAAGGTGTTTTGAGCCAGTTGTTGAAGACAAGCAGGTAACCGTTCTCTGAGCTTTCTTAGACTCTCTAGGAACGCCGGAGGTTGTTGCGTCTTGATGACTATGTATGCTATACAAAGTCGGACCCGAAATCACAGCCCGACTGGGTTGTTGTTGTTGTTGTTAGGTACCATCGAGTAGGTACCGACTCATAGCGACCCTATGCACAACAGAACGAAACACTGCCTGATCCTGGGCCAACTTCACAAGTGTTGCCACACTTGAGCCCATTGATGCTGACATTTTGCCAATCCATCTCACTGGGAGTCTTCATCTTTTTCTCCGGTTCTCCACTATAACAAACATGATATCCTTCTCCAGCCACTGGTCCCTCCTGACACTATGTCTGAAGTATGAGAAACGAAATTTGGCCATCCTGGCCTCCAAGGAGCACTCTGGCTGCACTTCTTCCAACACAGATCTATTGGTTCTTTTGGCAGCCTGTGGCACTTTCAGTATTCTCTTCCAACACCTTAGGCAGGCATCCCAGCGAAGGATTTCTGTGTGGAGTGGCTCCGGACATATTGGGAGTCAGATGATCATACAAACACAAACCATTAGGCCTTCTAGTTCCAATACTTTACACCCATTCTCTCCTGTGTCTATCCCCTTCCTCTGGTCCCTTTAGTACTACAAAAGAAGATAATTCTGATGGGAGCAAGAATATTAGTTTGTACTTTAATCTTCAACCTCTGTCTTCTGGACTCTCTCAGAGCCAAGAAGGAGACATGGACATGCAATCAAGTAATTACATAAGACTGACTTGCATGTGAAATGACATAAAGTAAATATTTGTAAATAGATTAGGATAGAGTCTGGATCATGGTAAATACAAGTGTAGGTGCTAATCATAAGGTTGGCAATTCAAACTCACCAGTGCTCTGATGTTCTGCATGAGAAAGATGCAGCATCAGCATCCATAAAGATTACTGCCTTGGAAATGCTATAGGACAGTTCTGCTCTGCCCTATAGAGTCATTGTGAATCAGAATGAACAATGGGTTTACTAGGCAGAGAAGAGGAAGAAATGACTAACAGTAGAATAAGAAGTAGGAGTTTGCTGGTATACAAGGAAAGGGGGACAGGAAAGGGGGATTTGTGGGAGATAGAATCATGTACAAAAAAGTAGGGTCCATGAGATACTTTGATGCATTCAGAGAATTGGGCAGATTCACATGACTGGAGAGAAAAAATGGAGGTGGTGGGCACTATCCTGGATTCCCTAGCTAGAGAATTTGGGTAATTTGCTTAGATTTGCATCTAGAAGTGCCACTGTGACTGCAGTACGGAGAATGGACTGGAATGAAGGAAGATGATGCAAAGGGAGATCAGTTAGGAGACTTGCAAGAAGTCAGGGTAGAGATAGGGTCTGAATTAAGCAGTAATCATAGGGACAGATAACGCATATTAAGAGATTGAATTCATGGTTATACAGTTATTCAACAAATTCTCACTGAATGCATTCTTTGTGTCAAAGGTTTGCTATAGGAACTGGAGATAATGAAGAAGCTTATAATGCAGAGAGAAATACAATGACAGTTCCAAATTATACAATTTGGAGGACCTGTTTTAAGAAAAAGGAGTTCCTGGTTGGCAAAAGTGTTGTGTTCAACTGCTAACTGAAAGATTGGCAGGTTGAACTGACCCAGAGGCACCATGGAAGAAAGGCCTAGCCATCTACTCCCAAAGATTACAGCCTTAGAACCCTATGTAGCTCAGTCTACTCTGCACACACGGGGTTGCCATGAGCTGGAATTTACTTTACAACTCCTTGTATGCAGATGGATATTATCCTATCACAGACAGCATTATACTTCAAGATAGATATTGAAATGTTCTTATCAAGCTTTGTTTCCATTTCATTTTGACAGTTACCAATTTTTCTTGATCCATAGTTTGTATATTCCATTATCAATAGATGTTTGCGCCTATTTCTCCTCATTTTGGGCTGTTCTGCATAGGAAAATCAAGGTCCTGAAAGCTTTGACTTCATTATGGTCAAATCTACTTTGAGATGGTGTGCCCCTCCTTCTTTCAGCAGAGCTTCCAGACTAAGACAGACTAGGAAGGAGAGGCAGACTACTTCAGAATGTGTAGTCACAGAAAACCTTATGAATAACAGCAGAAAACTGTCAAATATAGTCCAGAAGATGAAATATTGTGATTAACTCCAGAATATAGTCAGATATAGTGTCGGAAGATGAGCCCCATGATGAGCTTGATGTATGTGATGTGTAGTGAGTGGGTTACGAACTGCTAACTGTATCGTGAGCAGTTTGAATCTACCAGTCTCTTTGCATGAGAAAGATGAGACTTTCTGCTCTGGTAAAGATTTATAGCCTTGAAAACCCTATACAGGGTTGCTATGAGTTGGATGGGCTCATTGAACATGAGTTGACCATGATGATGGGAATGGAGTAAAGCTTTTGGGACCTTCATTTGATGATGGGGCACAACTCAAAATGAGGAGAAGTAGCTTCAGGCATCCATTAATAATTGGAACATGGAATGTATGAGGTATGAATCTAGGAAAACTGTAAGTTGTCAAAAACAAAATGGAACACATAAAGATTGATATCCTAGGCGTTAGTGAGCTAAATTCAACTGATATTGGCCATTTGAATCAGACAATCATGATTTATCATGCCTGAAACTACAAATTGAAGTGGAATGGCATCACATTCATCATTAAAAAGAACATTTCAAGGTCTGTCTTGAGGTACAATGCTTTCTGTATTAAGATAATATTCAAAAGCCTACAATGAAGACATGTTAATACCACTGTAAACTCAAATTTACTCACCAACCATTGAAATCTGATGATGAAATTGAAGAATTCTACTGGCTTCTTCAAGGAGCTCTGGTAGCATATTGGTTACAAGTTGGGCTGTTAACCTCAAGGTTAATCATTTGAAACTACCAGCTGTTCCATGGGAGAAAGACGAGGCTTTCTGCTCTCATAAAGATTTACAGCCTTGGAAATCCTATGTAGAGTCGTTGTGAGTCAGAACCAACTCCACGGCACACCACCAGCTTCTTCAGTCTGAAACTGATTAAACATGCAATCAAGATGTATTGATAATTACTGGTGATTGGAATGCAAAGGTCGGAAACAAAGAGGAAGGATCAGTCATTGGAAAATATAGTGTTGTTGATAGAAATGATGCTGTCGTCACATGATAGAATTATTCAAGACTAACGTCTTATTAATTGCAGATATCTCTTTTAGACAATATAATGGAACTATTTCATCAGATGGAATGAATACACAAGAACCAAACTGGCTATATTTATGGGAAGAGACAGTGGTAAAGCTCAATATCATCAGCCAAAACAAGCCAGAGGCAGACTGTGAAACAGATCAGCAGTTGCTCATATGCAAGTTCAGACTGAAGCTGGAAAAATTAAAACAAGTCAATGGGAGCCAAAATATGACCTTAAATATATCCCACCTGAATTTAGAGACCATCTTGAGAATAGATTGGATGCATTAGGCACTAATGACTGAAGACCATAAGAGGCGTG